GCTGTAATTCTGTTTGATGGCTCCAGTTCCACTTCTGGGAAAAGACTCCTTGCGATAGCGAATCTTTGCATAGAAGTAAGTTTTATGAATGAAAGTGTGCCAGTGATTTTGTTAGCAAAGAAACACGGTTATGGAAACAGAAATCCTGAGCCAGTTTTATGCTGCCATGCGAGCAGGATCCACAAACAGTAACTGTATGAGCAAAAAGTCATTGAGGTTTTGCCAGAGCAGATATTAATAGATTGTGGTAGGCTCCAGATGCTATTTCTGCTCAGGGCTTCATCGTGTTAGAGTGTTTTTTTAAATGCAGCACACAGCAGAGCCACCACCTGACACTGCTCTTACCAGAAGGACTGAGACAGAGCTGCCCAGTTACCTGACAGACCCAGGGAGCCTGACGAGCTCGTCAATTACTTTCCCTTTTGCTTTTCATGTTAATGAAGAATGAAGGGAGTTGCAAATATATGATGGGCTGATGTGTGTCTTCTGTGTGACATGGACCTTCTCAGTAATATGCTCTTAGTTTCCATGAGCCAGCTCAACACCTATTGCCACAGTTCTATTCCAACAAGGCAGCGCAGTGCAGGAGAAGCCGGTTAGGATTAGTTTATACTTGGTTAGCAGTGTTGCTAGTTGCTATTTGCACTGGCCAGAGCAATATAAATAGCTGCATTTGGTCTAAATGTCAGCACAGACAGGGACTGACACAGAAATGCCCCACTGGGAGTGAGGGCTGCTAATACCAGCATTTACCTCAGTTTCAAGGGTTCAGTTATGACCTTGGCTAAAATCAGTTGAGACCATGCAAACCTCAGACTTTCCAATTGAATGCCTTCACCATCTGTGCTCAAATGACTTGTTCACTTAAGAAGCATTCTGGTGAGGAGCAATTTATCTGAGAGCTGCCCAGGAGCTTCGGCCAGCTCAGAGTTTTGTTGGGTTTGTGCTGATGCACCTCATGTTTGTGACTGTCTCTGAAATGAAGGAACAGTAGATGTGGAAGGTTTAACCCCTCGCCCCACATGCCCCAGTTGCTCCTGGTTTTTCTCCACTTTGGGTCAATGAGGGGAGTGTTTGGGTCTTACCTGTAATGGCAAAGCTGAGTCCTGAGGCTGCTAACTGCTTTCTGAGATTACCTTTGAGACAGCCAGCTGCAGCAAACCTTTGTGTCACATGCAAGTTCTCGTACTGACCACACCACAAAGAGTCCCTTAGAACAAAGAACGCGATTTCAAGATTTCTGTTCTTGCTCCATCTCCTGTTTTTCTGTTTCTCTCTGATGGGGAAAGCAAATGCGAAAGCAGCTGGGATATATCATGCTGCATCTGCTGCTGCCTCCAAGGGTCTGTTGACTGAGGCATGTGAACTCTGTGTGGCAACATGGCAACACCAGGTTGGAGAAAAGCCCTTGGAAACTGATAGAAGTCTGCATGAAACTTTGCTATGTAATTTGTACTGAAATGTAGGGGGAAAAAAAAAAAGGAAGGAAACCGAATGAAATTTTGGCAAACTTTTTGCTTTTCATTGATTTTGGAAAGAGCTACATTTAAAAGCACAGGCCTGTACCTCTGATCTGCCACTGCTTAGCTTGTATTCTTCATTTTTTTGGTACTGTCTCATTCCTTCAGCAGTTTAATTTTCATTTAATTTCTGATTATTGACAGAGAGACTGAGGTAAACTCTTGTGCCTGCACTTCCTCATCAGTGAGAAAGACAATAGAATAGAATAGCTGCATTTGTCTTTAATTTCTTATCAGCAGTTCAGCGTCCTGCATTACAGAATCACAGAATCATACAATTGCTGGGGTTGGAAGGGACTTCAAGAGATCATCAAGTCCAACCCCCTGCTAAAGCAGGTTCTCTACAATAGGTTGCACAGGTCGGTGTCCAGACAAGTCTTGAATACAACCTCTCTGGGCAGCCTGTTCCTGTATGTCTAGAAACAGCGTGTGTTTACATTTGCTTTGTTCAAATATTGAACAATGTAATACAGGATTTACAGCTGGTTAGGAATTAATTCTAACCTGATCATATTTGTTGAGACCATACAGTGAAAAAAAGGAGCTGAAGGAACTGTGTGTGACAATAGTCCTGTCAGCTGCTGCATCGTATTTTCCTTACACATGATACCCCTACAGCAGGTGCTTGCTGAGTTACCCTTGCTGTCCCATGATGGCCTGAAAGAGACAGTGAACATTTCACAAATCAGCCTTCCTGGCTTGATGAAGGCCAGGGGATGTCACTACCTGTTTTTTAGGCTGCTAAATTATCCCAAGCACCATTAAGCCCCTTGTGCCACATGGCACATATTCCACTTCATCATTTAGCAGGTCAGCATGCCAAGGCATCACATTTATAGCCCATGAATGCTCTCCCCCACAGCAGCAAAGCTCACTTGTGTCGCTCTTTAATTCCTGATTTTACACAGTGTTAGAGCAGTTCCAGGGTCTGTGGAAGTCCCTTCCCTCAATGCACAGCTGTACACTGATAGCAGTTTGGTAAAGCAATTCCTGCAGCTAAGTGCAACAACATTTCATGTATGAAATTGTGCTGCTGTGAGCACTGGAGCTACACAAGGCTGCTTTCAGATGGTTGCTGAGTGCTCCTGAAGGCTGCTGTTGCACCAACCCTGTCCGTGTACCACTCTACAGCGCCTTCCCTCCCTAGGTTTTTAGCTTCTCCCATTGCCAGTCATTGCACTGGGACCCATTCCTGGGCCCAGTCCTCTACAGTACACAAACTGAGTTTGTCATTGCTTGTTTGAGTGGTGACAGTGCTGCTGGAGAAATACAGAATAATGCTTTCAGAATAATAGTGTAGGATAGCACGATGTTACGGATGACTGGAACTCCCAGACCAACAGTAAATATTCTCTTTTTTAACATGGATACAAACTGTGGTTGGGTGAGAGTACGGTTGTAGAGAAAGAAAAAATAAAACAGCAACGAGAGCCACTGTGGGAGCAGATCCAGCTATTTGGCTGGGAAGTATTGAAAAAATGATTACCTTTTATGTACAGAAGACTTGTAGTTTGGAGATATGAGCTCCAAGCAGAAGCTGCTAAAGAATACATCATGGTTTCCTCTGCCTCAATGTCACCGAAGTTGGGATATAAAATGGCTGAGAACACCTCAAGAAGGAGGGAAAGGATAAGTTAAGTGAGTTTTTATCACACTTTAAAAGTTTAAGCATTCACTTAGTATAAATCTACTTATAGAATTAAGTTAATAAAATCAAATCTTAAAAAATGATGTTAACTTTTATGTGAACCCCATAACTACTATGGCAATATTGTAGGAGTTCCACAGAACCACCTCTCATCAAACATTCTTAAGATGTGAGCTTTTATGATGTTCTGAGCAGACACTTCTTTCCCCATATTACTAGGGTTAGTAAAAATAATTTTAAAAAAAAGCAGACTGCTAACAGTTGGGAGAGAGAAGACACAACTGTTGAAATATGTTATGTTGAAATAGGAATCAGAAAAGACTCATAGAGAGATGGGCAATAATGGAGTCTTAGGACCTTTGTTTTGTTTACTGGGTTACTGCTGAGAGGAAGCATGTGATTGTTTATTTATGACCTGGTCACCAGGAAGCCTATGGGCCAATCACTTCTTTTTCAGGTATAATTGTCAGCTAAATGCTGGGTTGGGTTTGGAGTCAGTCCTTGTGCAATCTGTTTGATAGCAGAACATATAGCATACAGAAGTCTGCTTTGTTTGCAAGTAAATAAGCTTCTTTCCACAGTAAGAATAACTTGAAGATCAGTTTAAAGCTTAAAAACAGAAAGTTTATCTGATGGTTTTGTTATACCTGCCGTGTTCCTTAAAAAAAAAAAAAAAAAAAAAAAAGACAAAACAAAAGTAGCTCTCTGGAAATGCACTTTTGGAATGCTAAATAAGCCCCGTGTTAGTTCTGTTTGACAGCCATCCTTTCACCCTGTGAAATGAAAGTTGTTGGCTCTAGAAACACGTTATGAATTGTGCTTAGGATTTCTTCTCAGCCCTTCAAGTGATGCTGGAACAGCAGCAACCTGTTTGTCTCCTTTGCATCTGGACTGTGGACTGCAGTAGCTGTTAAAAGGAAAGGCACATTTAACCAGAACAGTTTTATTTGTTTTGGGTCAGTTATAAAAGCAAGTGCTAATGTTTGCAAAATCGTTTTATGAGCAAATGGCCCTTAGGCCACTAACTATGCACTTCTCAGAAAGATGCATTAGAGCAACAAATCTATCTAGCCTGTGAAGAGTAATGTGGTACTTCAAGCATACCACAAACACATTTCAAAGCCCCAAAGCATATGCAAATTCAGGGAAATATCTACAGAGCTTTTATATGAATTAGAGACCAACAGACATCCCTTGCGCTGGTGTCACGGAGTGCAATAATATTACATAGCCACTAAGTGATACTTTTTGCCTCTATTGCTAGATGTGACCTTACTGTTCATAAATATCTCAATTTAAGATCAATGTGGAGTTTAAATAAATGAGAGCAATTGTTTCCAGTGTGGGCAGTGTACAGCCCTGATCCATTTCTCTATCCTCTGCTGGGCACTCTATGGTTTTGTCTTGACTTAAAGCATTATGGTAAGATTGCTATGAAGTCCTGATTATAGGAACATTTTTACTCTAATTAACTGTTGTGTGTCAGATTTCTGACACTGGTTGCCGCTTTTGCAGGACCAATCTGCAGTCTTGTTTTATAAAAGAAAGCAAAACATACAAGGAACATAGCCTTGGGAAATGTAACAGACTTGGGAAACATAATCCTTTTTTATTGACTCTTATTATTGATTGTTAGCAGAGGAAACCCTTTTTGCTTTGTGGAGCATTTTAAATCTTAATTCAGGTGTACAGATATAAAAATGGCTATAACAACCAACAACAAGGTGAAGTTTAAAATGAACTGAAAAAGTAATAGACTAAAAGATACTTAGGCTGTCTAAGCTTATCAACAAGATGCAATTTGACAGCACTCCATACTTCTTCTCTTTTAGCCACATAATCAATGAGCTGATAGAAACCGAGCGTGTTTATGTGGAAGAACTTCAAAGCATAATAGAGGTAAGAAAATCTGTAAATTCTTCTGACGTTTAACCTCTAAGTGATCACTGGTGTTGCACATCCTTCATGGGCTGAGCACTCTCACCTCCCACTTTGTGTTCAGAGAACACAGGTTCTCTGTCAACAAGATTGCTCAGCCTCAGACATGGAAAATAAAGGGATGTTTTGAACATCCTACCTCAGGGCCAGAGGCACTTTCTGTTACTCCAGCCCACGGAATGATGAAAGTTGCATCATTTTCAAAGTTATGGTCGGATAAATAGTTAGTAATGTGCCTTTTCACATCATCAGTAACTTTAGAAACAGCATCCTTGTTTTCCAGGGGGTCACAATCTAAGTTTCTCTGAATGTATGTTTGGAACATGATTGAGATAAAGGTAGGCCAGTGTCACAACACTGGCTCAGTCTTGTGTGTATTTGTGTGGGATCTGAAGGACTGACTGGTATCTTTTTGCAACTATGTCGTTGCTTCTTCATCCAATTTGATTTGTGGGAGCTGACAGCTCTGATGATTGATTATTCTGACTTTAAAATCTATAATCAGAATGTTTTTCTCTCAAAAATGTGTATGCAAAAAATACAACTGAGCTTCTATGAGAAACAACTGAATAACCATGTAAAATACCATAGCCTAACAAATAAATCCAAACCTTTTTGCAATGAAACAGTGTAGCAGAGAGTCAAGTGTCTATCAAACTTAGCAGTTTCCATCCCTTTTGATTAGTAGGAACATGATTTATTCTTTTCTGTTGATCCCATAATCTGTCCACTTGTGGTTAAGAATGTGTTTGCACAGCTATCAGGTGTAATAGCTCTGGAGAAAATGAGAAGCATCAGAAAATCATTAAGCAATAAAGATACTGGCACAGGGAGAAGCTGTTGTATGCTCTGCTGAGAAAAAAAGCACACATACTGTGGGGCTTTTTAGTGACTCAGATACACTCTTTTTTTCCTGGTAAAAATAACCTGGTTTTATTTTTCACTCTCCTCTGCAGGGCTATGCTTCAGAAATGGACAATCCAAGTTTATTACATCTGATTCCATCAATGCTCCAGAACAAGAAGGATATTCTATTTGGAAACCTCCCAGAAATCTATGAATTCCACAACAGGCATGTGTGAATTGCTGGTTGTCCTGAGCCCTTGCTGCTGCTGACTCTTCTACTGCCTTTTCACAGGGTGCTTTGTTACACCCATGTGTACACAGGCAGGGAAAGTCATCCTCACTTTGCCTCTGTATGTGTCCTATAAAACCCATGTGTGGAGAATACCTCTGAGATCATCAATGTCATCTATTTGTGAAAGATTATCCCTTTTGTGCATTCACTAGTGATCTCCCTTGGCATTATTAATTTTGAATGTTTCTAGCGGTAAATATTTTTTGTTCTCCCTTGATAGTCTGATAAATGTCCCTTTGCAAACCTGGTAATTCTTTTCCTAAAAGCTTAGTGCATTGACTTCCAGTGACTGCAAAAATGGAATGCAGCCCATATTTTCACTGCTCGCTGATTAAACAACTGCATTTGACAGAGCTTTTCTGTCTTTTCTTGCTGTTCTGAAACATGCTCGTAACCAAATGGGAAGTGGGTGTTTGGGCCACATATTGAAAATAAATCTGAACAGCCAGAAGAACCAGATGTATCAAATGCTTGTGAGCAGATGAAGACATGATAATATTGGTGTTTCAGGCAATCAGCTGTGAACCACATTCCAGTTTTCTTAAATATATATAATATCTTTCTTTGTGTGTCAGAATTGTTATGTTCCACATTGAATCCTTTCACTACAGGAACATAGACTTTAATCTAGAGTTACATGGAAGCTAGCATGTGTGAACAGAATGTTCCATTATTGTTTGCTTTCCTTTGTTTTTCACAGGATTTTCCTCAAAGAGTTAGAAGATTGCATTGAAAATCCTGAGCTCCTCGCCCAATGCTTTTTGAAAAGGGTAAGCAAATCCTTTTCTAAGTTTGTGTGAATATCCATGTTCTTGTCCAACAATAGTTACAGATTAACTTTTATCCTTTCACTCTGATTGCTTATGTGAATGAGGGAAACTCATATTAGCAGATATTCCCAGTGTGTATTTTGAAATCTGAGCCTTCTTACTGGCGGGAAGAGATCCGTTAGCAGTGTTTTACAAATGTATTTTAAGCTCTCATCGGAAAAAAAAAAAAAAAAGATCAAAGTGTCAACTTTCATATCAGATTAAGATATGATGCCCAGAACCTGATGTACACCTGGCACCACACTGCTGTAAATAAGCAGGAAATGATCTAACAGCATATTGCTCTGCGTGCAAATAGCACAGCCTATCTCTGTCTTCTTTTCTCTACACCATTCAGGAGACTTACTTCCCTGAAACTGATTCAGTAGAGTCTACCACCTTCCTTGTGTGGTGAATCTCTACCAGCTCCATTACTCCAAGACCAATTCTTTTACTTCTTCACGTTATTTAAAAACCAAGAGAGATTCTCCTCACTTGGATGAAGTGGTGAGAGATCAATATATGAGAAAACCCAAAGCCTTAGAGTGGTGGGTTTGGTCAGACACACGCATCTTTGCTTCCTGTAGATTTCAGTACCTAAGTTCTGCAGCTCCATCCCCTGAGAGCTCTCATCCATGCTCCCATTAGTGTGGCTGTTAGCCCTGTTTCCTGTGACCCAACAAAAGGTGTTCGTTTGTCTGGCACTCATTCAGAGGTCCCACTAATCAGAAAAACCTGATTTGATGAGTTGCTGCTGCTTTCCTGCTTAATTTTTATTGACAAGGAACTGTATGAAATACAGATGAATTTAGATGAAACCTACCTGCCCCAGTTCTCAGAGGTGTCGAGCACTGCCACAACTTTAAGATTTCAATGAGAAATGTGAATTTTTCCAAAGAACAGGCTTTACAAACAGGGTTTACAAACAAGTTATGCTGAAGGTCATCGTACCAGTGTATATGTGATTATAGTCAGCTGAACTCTTCTCTGGTTAGCCGCCAGTATTTAGCGCCTGAGTAAATGGCATTACCAAGGACTGTGTTGTTAACCTAAGATTCAGATGCTGAGCAGGAAAATATTGTGGTGAAATCATTATGCAAAGTAGGATAAACAGTCACTGAAGAATGCAGGCCATGAAGTCTATATATTGTAAATATCCCCGGACTTGGAAGGTAGAGAGAAATTCATAATGCAAAATTGATCCTATTATTCTGCAGAAAGATCAAATTCCGTGTTCCAGTTTTGCAGCTTATGACTCTGTCAGAACAGCTGCTGAGCCAATTCTCATTGTTCCACCAATATAAAATAAGCTGCAGTAAAACTTTGGGTCATGTGTCAAGTGAAAGAAAATCAGTTCTTTTGTCACATCTGCTTATCAGCCTCCATGGACTAGTCAAACAATACCAAATATATCTAGTAAGAAATTAAACCATGTATTAGTTTAAATCATGTGTTAGCTTTTTCACTATTTCAAATTTCGCGCTAACAAAGCAAAAACCTGTCTCTGGAAATGTCTCTGCTCACACAGTAGCACCTTTGATTCAAGGAATTTCCCTCATGTACTGTTTTTAGACGAAGCCACATAAACTCCAGAAAGTTGTTGTTTCTGTTGGACTGCCTTAGGAGGCACAAACAAAAGCCTGGTTGTGTGTTTGTGTTCCCCATGATTTGGCAGCTTTTTGCATCTTCCCACTGAGCAGAGGCTTCTGGCTTGCCCTGTGAGTTATGACTGCGCTTACTGTGGCATGGGGGAAACTGAAACAGATGCTCTTCAAGGAGATGTTTAGTTCTGGGAGGAAACTCACTTTGTTGCAGATTCATTTCTGTGTTTCCCCATCCTTGTACTTGTGTAACCTTCCTGCCACAACACCATGGTGAGCCTATGCTTTGAAATAGACTGATTTTTAGATTCATACTTTCTGAAGAATATTACCCTGTCTGATCGCACTTCACCTTCCAGAAGTGCTTGAAAGTGTTCCAAGAGCTGCAGTGGGATGCCCTTGTGCCTGGCTGAGTTTCCTCCATCCCCTGCCTGTCATTCCCCTGCCATGTCCACCCACATCCTCCCACCTCCACCAGTGCCACCTGGACAGCCATCACCACATAAATGAACCCTTATTCCCAGGTTTATTTCTCAGGTCCCCCCATCCTCTCAGGATGGGAGGAGCAGTGTGTGAAGTTCCCGTGTACTTCTCCTCTCAGACTTCTCTTCTGGAACACAGCAGCAAAATCAGGTGCAAGATGAGCCAGAAACTACACCCTTATCCCCCTTTACACTTTGCCTGTCCTTGTCAGGATATGATCATGAAGTGAACGTTCTAGTCCTTACACCACTATAAAAATTAAAGCTGGATCTGCCTGAGCTGGTGTCACTGATACGTGCAGTGGTGAACTGTGTTGACATAGGACAGTTCCACTGTGGCAAGTTACTCATGAATTGTTTATCATTTTATCTTTTCTTTATATTGAACAGATACTCATCTTTTGCCCCCCCTTCTGAGCATCACTGCTTCTGTTCTTGCCCAGTCCAATTATATTTCTGTGCACCAGGAACAGATTGTAATGCTTGATTACACTTTCTGATTATTTTACTTTTCTGAATTTTACTCCCTGCTAACTTCCATCCAAGGCAACATGTGCAGACAATCCTATTTAGATGAATAAAACTCTATGTTTCTTTTGAAACAGCACCATTCGTGTTCTACAGAGAGCAATGGAGCTTTTTTTATGGCATAATCCTCGACACAGTGAGGTGTTGCACAGCCCTGCTTTCGTCTGATTCATCAAGGTGACGTCAACATGAGACTATAGAGGAAGACAGATACCAGTTTCTTCTAGTAGCTCTATCCAAAAGAAAACGTTTTCCCTGTACCAAGAGTAGGCAGGCACTGTTCAGCGCTGAAAGCACAGAGGAGTGAACCAGAAATACCCTTCCTTTGTTTTTGGCACTGTCTTTGACTCACCAAAGTCATGTCCACCTGGGTGAGTGCAGACAGAAAGGTTCCAAACTGTTCACACACAGGCAGTCTTGCTAAGGAATCTGTACGGTACTGCTCTGCAGTGGCATGGCTGTAGGACTTCTGAGCAACTGGACTTGTGGTTAGCGAGCTAAGAAACTGGCAGAGGAACACCTGCCTCTGCCCAACCATATAGCCTAAAGACCTTGAAATCTCTTTAGGTTTTTACTGAGATTCCCTTTGTCTTCACTGAGGTCAATGAGATTTTGTTATGGACTAAAGTGGGAGCACCTGGAGAGTAGTCAGAGGACAGATCAAGTGGATCTACTGCTTCTAATCTGGATAGGACAGAGTTTAAGTGGTTTTTCCTGTCTGGCCTGTAGCATCAAAATTACTACTTACTGGTCTGTGCCAGTAGCATTAATAAAAATCTTATTTATTTATTTATTGTTTTCAAATAACCTACTTCCCTCTCTGAAAGATAACAGTTTTGCAATTAGGTTATGTGTCTTTTAATCTAGTGCCTGCTTGATTAGTGCAAAAAGTGAGAAAACATCATCTTCTGGTTTATGTAACTTCACAACATTAAAGTGCAGGTTTGGTAGCTTCAGTATATTTTTACATATAGACTTATGACCATGAATTCATTACTTCTATGTGTTAGGATGGAAAGTAAGAAAAAGTCTGATTCATGGCAGATGCTCTATTGATTATTTATTACTTTAAGCTCTCCTTTTCTTGCAGAAAGAGGACCTCCAAATATATGAAAAATACTGTCAGAACAAGCCAAGGTCTGAAGCTCTCTGGAGACAGTGTGGAGACAGCATCTTTTTTCAGGTGGAATTACACTGCAGACTAGCAGCGGGAGACCATCAAAACTTGTTTTTTTTTTTCCTCTGCTTTAGAAAATTTACAGAAAAATGCAGACTTTTCTTGTGCTTCTTATACTGATGGCAGGTGCTCAGTATGTGTCAATGTGCTCTCTATAGGAGATTAGATAGATAGAATAGTTCCTGGACAGGAGGAACTTCAGGCTACAGCAAAGCCAAACAATTTCTGGCTTCTCTGCAAACCCCAGATGATTACATTCTCATTAGCAGGGCATGCCAGATTTCAACACTAAGTTGAACCTCTGATTAGTTCTGTTTTGATATATTTTCATTTTGTGGCGTAAGTAACCTGGAAAATCCTATGCAGACAGAGCAAATTTCTCTCACAATTAGGAGACATACCACCTTCAGATTACCAAATGATAATGATCTTGGTGTCTTGCCTGTGTTTCAAGAAACAATATTTTTCCTCTTTGTTGTCTCCTGCAGGAATGTCAGCGTAAATTGGATCATAAGCTCTCGCTAGATGCGTATCTTTTAAAGCCGGTCCAGAGAATCACCAAGTACCAGCTGCTATTAAAGGTAACTTTTCCATGATGATGCAAAGGATTCCAATGCATAGCTTGTTTTACTTATAGAATTGCTTATCGGGATTATTTTCTGGAGGACTGACTGGAAAGTCAGTCGAGCAGGACACAGGCAATGGCCGCAAGTTGTATCAGAGGAGGTTTAGGTTGGACATAAGGAAGAACTTTTTCTCTCAAAGGGTGGTCAGGCACTGCAATGGCTGCCCAGGGAGGTGGTGGAGTCGCCGTCCCTGGCAGTGTTCAAGAGGCGTCTGGATGACGTGCTGCGTGATGTGGATTAGTACTAGTGGTGGCAATGGTGATGAGGAGACGGTTGGACTGGATGATCTTATAGGTCATTTCCAACCTTGTGATTCTATGATTCTATGATTCTATGAAATCATCTCTTACTTCACCAACAAATACTTTTTAATGCAAAATAGCAACAGAGTCAAAAAAGGACTACTGTTTCAGGATAAGTATTGCTGGGGGAAAACAAAATAGAGTATTTTATGTAGCAGATATTTTATTGTTTTACTTACCTTTAATCAGAAATTGAAATTGTTTTTATTTGCTCAGTGTGGCTTTACAGTTTAAAAACAGGAATTGATATTCTCTATCCCATCTCTGGCATCCATCCTCATTTAACAGAACTCTTTCAGCTCTCTGAACCAACTTATGGTAGTTGTGACCCAAACCTTTCAGAAGGAGCCACTCCTACATTTAAAGCCCCAACTAAGAATAAATTGTCCACAATTTTTCTACAGGATGAGTATAGGAGCTTCCCTTTTGATTGGTTGGAGCTATAAGACCACTGTCTGTGCTTGAAATTCTGGTCAAATTGGGTCAGTTTAAGCTATGTGAGGATCTGGATGGTCATTCGCCTCTGCAGTAGTTTTGTGACCTCTTACTGGATAACTATAGAAACCAAAAATTGAAGGACGTTGTTAAAAAGCATGCAGCTTCACTGAATCCAGTACAATTGTATCAACTTAATCCAGAAATAAATTTGGTTCAATTTCTTGAAACTGTTCTGGGAGAGAGGAGAAAATGTCGAAGTGTTCAGAAGAGCAAGAGTAAACCAGATTATATTTTTAATTTGAAAAATGCCTGTAAATGTAACAAGATCAAGGAGCAAAATTCTCCAGCAAAACAGGTAGCAGCTATTAGGGTTGAGGCTGGTCAGACCAGTTTTATACTTGGCAAAACATTGGCAAGAACGTTTATTTTGTCAAGGATTATGAGATCTATGAAGATGGTGCACTGTATCTCTGGTAGCAGGAGTTTTTACGGGTATAGGAAAACAGGAGTCTGAAGAATTGGTCACAAAGAAGTGCCTTAGTGGCGTGCCTTGACGCTCTGTGATCAGACTAGTTTTAAATTCTGGGTCACAGTTATGAAACCAGAGGGCTGCAAGTCAGTATAGCTAATGTTAAAAAGCACCAGTCCCACTATACAGAGAGCAGGGATCCATAGTGGAAACTGTGCAACAGGTAACATAAGAATGCATCCTGCTTCTAGCCTCTAGGACCTGGTTACCTCAGTATTTGAGGACAGAATCCTGCCATTTGGGATCTTCCAACTGCTTTGAGATTCGTGTCTACTCACAACTGTATGAACTATATGTGGATTTGTATCTATTAAACATTTTTCCCCTAGATGCTTTTAGCAAGGGCATAAAGTCTGATTCTGATCTCAAGTGGACACTCATTGCCAAGAACTACTTTCTACAAAATAAAGTAAAAAAACCCGAAAACATAACAACAAATATCTGTGCATCTGAGTGAAATCCTAGGCTTCTCTACAGGCAGAAGTGCAAGAGGCAAGGCAGTTTATACAATTTAAAAACAGAAGATTTTTGTGTCTTTCATGAATTGCATAGGTTGTAACTGTTGGTTCAAGTAGTTCATAATTAGAACTAGAACTTTTCAAGCAAATAACACACATAGAAATAAGAGAACCTTGTAAGGAGCTCTACTGGGCTAAGTAAGGTGTTGGCCTTAAATATTTGGGGCTTTCAATAAGATCTCTCTATATGAAGTAATCACAACAATTGATCCCTTAAAAAGTTTGATTTTTTAGTTTCTTTGCTTTGGGCACATGCTTGTCAAGGATTTTGTGTCTTGTTTTTAATGCGGAGATGGGAAGATGGAATGACCTTATTTCAAGCAGAATTCAATGTTTAATAATTTTTATTTGCTAAGTACCAACATCATTCTTCAAAATGACTATCCCTTAAAAAAGGTTTTCACATTTGCAAATGCAGATCTGTAATCTGTAGTGGAGAAGCGTAGAGAATAAGAGATGGGAAGGATTTGTAGTAATTTGTGTTACTTCCTCCCAAAAAATTAACATCTGAAAAACTTGTTTTATAGATCAAAAAATCTTCACTTAATGTAGAGAAGAAAGATTTGTGAGATAATCTGACCGTGGTCTAAACATCTATCCAGGAATTGATTGTTTTTTCCATGCAGAATTTCTTTATTTATCAGATAAGAGCTTACTAAGACCTTTTGATTGGAACCTCAAGCCTTACAAGATCAAACTAGAAATTAATTAATATTTTCAGTAGTGGGGATACAAATCGGAACAAATTCTCCAGGAAAATTGTGAATTCTGTAATACCAGAAATCATTATACTAAGATTGAGTTTCTTTTCTAGCAGGTATGAAGTAAAAAAAAAAAAAAAAAAAGAAGTAGTTTTGTGATACATGAAAGATGATTGTAACTGTGTAAAAATGCTCCTATCCCATCTTAAATAAACCCATAAAACTTGAACATGTGAAGAATTTCAAAGTATTCATCCTCAGTGACAATCCTGGTGAATGTTCTGTTTTTATTTTATCCTGTATTTCTGCTGCACAGATTTCAGAGAGGACTGGGTTGTGTTGGCTTCTGATATAAGAAATTTTCAAATACTTTTCTCATCATTGTTTCATCAGGAAATGCTGAAATGCAGCAAGAATTCAGAGGGTACTGCTGAACTGGAAGAGGCCTTGGCCACAGTGCTTGATATCATCAAATCCGTAAATGACTCCATGCACCAGATCGCAATCACAGGATACGAGGTATTATTTGTTGTTGCCCTTACTGTTGTCTTGACTCATACAATGTTCTTTATCATCACGGATCACCCTGTGCCCATGGCTGGTACACTTTGAAGGTGCCTAAGTCACATTCTTGAAGGATGCTCTTCAGTGGCATGTTGTAGTTATCTAGAAGACTTGACAACATATGTGGGTGTGGGTGGTGAATGTGGGAAGGAAATGGGACAAATGCAATCCTTGAGTAATCACAGACAAAACTCATTTGTAAGTGAGAGGCAGCAAAAATGAGTGACGTAACTTAAGAAATCTGCTGAAGCTGTCTGCGACCCCAGTGCAACTCAAGCATTTCCAAATCTTTTGCTCTTAAGGAAGAATATTTGGATTCGCTTTGAAGTGGGTAATAAAACCCACCCCAGTGACTGGCAAACTTATTATCTGAGATGTGAAATAACAGCTACAGTACAAATAAGGCCACGAATGTATATATATATCTACTGAAGCTCCACTGAAGTCATATGACTTACAAGATCTAGTACAGAACATGAACCCTTCAGTGAGAAGTGGAAATGACTAATGTAAAAAGGAGAAGCATGTCTGATGACATGAGGCCTGAGGGTGATGTGATTGCCCATTCTGAAATAGCTATAGGGTGAAAAAGGAAAAAATGTAAGGTTCAAAGAATTATTTTATCAGAGAAATAACCTGAGCACCAGAAGAACAGTGCAGAATGTGACTTCCAGAAAAAGTGCTGGGGTCTGCACTGTGTCTAAGTGGAAAGAGCAAACTTTATTTTGCAGGATGGAAAGGCTTCAGAAGTTCTGATTTCTACATTTATCTCTTTCTTTTCAAGTGCATCTCCATCTGATAGCTGAGGAAACTATGCCTGTTGTGCCAGCATTATTTTATAAATGAATTTAAATGCGTGCCTAACTATGTATCATGGACCCACCATTTCTTCTCCTCATTCCATCTGTCCTTGGTGCTCGGCTGTGATGGCCAAATAAGCACCTCCCATTGCTCACAAAGCCACACCCCTTTTGAGACTTTTTCTCATGCAGACATGGTAGAAATACTTGCCAAAAACACCTTCAGAGACAGATACTGTGCCAGTGGAAAGGCAGGTTTTGTGGCAGCTGATGAGTGCTCCTAATTGCATAGGCAATTCTAGTTTCATGGAGCTGTGTACGTACAGGCTCGAGGAGTTGAACTCGTGTTTAACGTTGCTGTTTTGTTTTTTGTTTGGTTGTTTTTAATGTTTTTATTTTGTTTGTTTTTAGCCAAGCCACAAAAAAGCAGAGTAAAGGACTTGGAAAGTGGAACATTCTGAGATGTTTCCTACAATCATCCTAACTTTTATATACAGTGTGGCCTGGATAGTTTGTCCGTTGGCTATGCAGCACATTAGCCATTCATACATATCTCCCATCTTTCATAAGCATGAGATCCAATGTATTGTTCTAACAGCAAATAATTGTATCTGAGATAAGGTTAAAATCATTCACCTTAAACAAACTTTCTTTGGGACAAATTATCACAGTCTACTAGCACAAGTTATCAGACATAGTGTGCTTCTGTACTTCTGTCCACACTGAAGACACAGCCCAGGAGTTTCAGGCTGATGTTCAAAGTCTTCTGCAAAGTCTTGCTGCAAACTGCCATCTCCATCCATCTAATGGATGAGAGTCCTAATAACATGCCTATGTGGAGTAGAACAGTACCTAAACATACCCTTATTTTGCAGTTAGATCTAAGGTAGAGTAGTGAGTGAGGAGACCAATTTGCAATCTGTGCTTTAAGAAATCATTCCCACTCAGAGCCATCATCTGCCCTCATAATCGATAGAACATAGCAATGTTGAAAACGTGTCTTTTGATAATGAACTGAGCTTATTCTCTAAAATTATTATGCAAAGTACTGCCAGTTAAACTTGCCACTAGCATCATTATGCTCATCATTACTCACTAAGCACATTACTAGGTGGATGTAGCCATGTCCTCTGTATCCACATGTTACTACACTCTGTAACACTGTAATACACTGTGAGTGCAGCTCATAGTGCCAGACAATTTGGCTCTGGATATGTACCATATCCACACATTATTACACTCTTTAGTACTGAACTGAGCTGTAAATGTTTTGTTGGTGGAATCTGAGCCAAATGTCATTTATATCCATTGAAGTATTTGCCCATCAGTGGTCCTCACGTAAGGTCTTTAACTCAGAAAGGTCTGTTTCCTGTTTAGATTCATTCTCCCTCAGATACTTTTATGCATCTCTGGTGCATTTGCTCTCTCTTTGCCCAAGGCTGTACAGCACTGCATAGTTTACAGATGGTGAGCTGAGAAGCTATTGACAAAATGCTGTTTTGCAATGGGAGAGAATTACACACCTCATAACTCTAGGCACCAGTCTGTGTCTTCAGACATCTAAGTGTCTTTCAAGGTCCTGCTCAGGGATGAATACATGAGAAGATCATAGCAGAGAAGAAACTGAACAGAGAATCTTTTGGAGCCAAAGCTTTTGCTTGCATACCTTCACTAGCTTTTCATAATGCCTTGGAGTCGGGAGCACTGAAACTCAGTTCTTGTCAGAAAAGCTTGCTGCTTGTGTGATCATCAGAGGGGACAGCTAATGTACATGATGTAAATATGGTACTGACTCTAACTATTAATTGGGAGGCAAAGTGGGAATTATGGACATGGAAAGCAATGTGTTAAACATAGTAGGAAGATAACACAGGTTTAGCAAGGTATGAGTAGGTGGACTTGCAGATGTAACATGTCTGCCCTCTGATAGAAGGGATGCCTGGGCAAATGCCTCTGCCCAGATGAGGGCTCTGTGCCTGTGATTAACCAAGTTTGGACATAATGTATGTTCTCTCTTTTCCTTGCCTGCTAGGGGGACGTAAGTGAGCTTGGTAAGCTGTTGATGCAAGGTTCCTTCAACGTGTGGACTGACCACAAGAAGGGTCACAACAAGGTGAAGGACTTGGCAAGATTCAAACCAATGCAGCGACACCTCTTTCTCTACACAAAGATGCTGCTTTTTTGCAAGAAACGAGAGGAGAACACTGATGGTCATGAGAAGACAGCTTCATACAGCTTTAAAAATTCATTAAAGGTAAAAAATGTGGTCATGGGAAAGGAGGAAGAAATAAATTTTTTGTTCCAACAATACAGGAGACCTGGAGTTATCTTGCAACACTGAGTAAATGGAAGCTCCCATTTTAGTTTTGGTTTGGAGACAGACCCAGTCATATGTGCTGTGACTCCAGGTGTGAACCTTAGTTTTGCAACTCAATACAGCCTTTTAAAAATGCATCTTGGGGGAGACTGAACTTAAAGACTACTTACATTTTCCCAAGTGCAGCTTCTCATTTTCTATTTTGAAACAGATGAGCACAGTGGGCATCACAGAAAATGTAAAAGGAGATAACAAGAAGTTTGAGATCTGGTATAATGGTAGAGAAGAAGTCTATATCATCCAGGTAACAACAATCCTTTATTTCTGAGAACTATACTTCCTTTGAATTGAATATTTTTAACAAAGTTTTCAGTTTCATGAATTTCACTGTCCTGTACAGTCATGAAATAACAATTGAAATCTTCACTGTTGTGTTGGCTCTAAAATTACCGATATATCATTGTATATTTTGTATATGCCAATATATCATGTGAACTTGGGCAGAAAAGAAAGCAAAGTAGTGGAAAATTACTTGGAAGATTGGACAGAAAGGCAAGGACTTGGACCTTAGATTCATGGTAACCTTTCCATCTTGAAAAGTATCCCTTCTTTTGATCTGAAAATCCAGCCATGGAATTTCATTCTTATGTGAAACTGAGAGCAAACATACGTTAGGATATCCAAGGGGTTGGTAGCATGCTTTGATCTGCTTTGCCTTTTCCTCTTGTGTCCTCAGGCATCTTCTGTTGAGCTGAAAAACACCTGGATTTCTGAGATACGCAAAGTTCTAACAGGACAACTGGAAGCATGTAGAGGTAAGACACAGTGTGATCTGATGATGTTGGTTCTTCCTGTAGCTGTGTATGACAACATGGAACTGGGATGACTTATAATGTCATTCATGACTAGCAATGAAACCAGCAAGAACTGAGCTTCTATGCAAGAGGACGAGTTGGATTGCATGAATAATTATTCCATTCACAATTAGTCTGAGGAATGTGATTTTCCTCTGTCCTCCCTCTCAAGCATAATGCTAGAGACATTCATTTTTATCAGCACATCAGGAGATGTGGGCCCAGACTTCGCTCCGTGCCTTCTTACAAGACTGACATGAAAGATCTCTCCATACACGGATGAGTGCACACAACAACTGCTTTTCTCTGTCTCATACTTTATTTTACTTCGTGGTTTTGGGTTGATTGTTGTGGGGGTTTTTTTGTTTGTTTTGTTTTGGTGGATAGGCAGTTTTAAATCTGGTCACGTTCGTTATGTTTTGACATCTCTAGATGTGATTGTCAGTCATCTCTTCCATCTTCTCATCATAGTGACCTTCCTCTAAAATGTGATTCATGATATTTCCCTCTCTCACTGAGATGTCACTGTAAAGCTGTTTGGTGACATGCTCAACACGTGAATGGTTGAGGCCTTGTAAGTACCTAAAACAATGACAGACATTCTATTAAGCCTAAGACAGCCAAAATTCAGTTTGGTTATTCTAGATAGTAAGAGAACATAGCAATGAAAACCACCTGAGATACTACTGTTTTTATGAACAATAATGTACTTTGTCCTAAAATCCATTTTGCATGTTCTCCTAAGGACAAAAAAGCATGGCTGTGTTCATTACAGACTCTTCTTGTGTCCCAGCATTGTTTCTTGCTTTGACCTGTCATTTTCTGCTTCTGTCATACACAGTATTTAAAGCAATGCCAGCAAAGCATCTCCTCCCACATCCTTAAGATTCCTAAGCAGATTTTGTCCTAGGCGGAAACCTGTGCATGTGCTTTAACTTTAGAGGTCACCTTTATCTTAATTGTCTGTTTCATAAATACAAGTTCTTGCAGTCTCCTTAAGTGGATAGAAACAACTATGCATGTGAGCTTCAGCAACGTAATGGAAGCCATCACGACATATGTACACATAAATAAACACTTTGCACTCAGATCTTTTGTTTCTATCCTTATAGTCATCCTTTCTCTTTTTCATTCTGAATTTCACTGCAGTCAGTTCAGCAGAACTGCTGAGGAAAGAAATCAAGATTCTTATCAGCCTTATTTCAGGACTTGATCTCTTGATGTCTACTGTTATTTCTCATATTTACTTCTGAAGTATAAAGGGTGACTTGACTTGGGCTTCTACAGAACAGAAAAATACTTTATGGAGAAAATATTTTGATATTCTATACTGTTTTGTCTCAAGATCACAGAATCTTAAAATAATTCAGGTTTCAAGATATTTCAGGAGATCACACTCCACTATCCTTCCCAAAGCAGAGTCAGTTATTTGTCAAACCAGGTTGCCCAAGATTACATCCAGTCTGGTCTTGAGAACCTCCAAGTTTACTTCAAGTAAGGTCAAAATTTCCTTCATTGTGAATCCAAGAGATCAGCAATCACAGGGCAGAAATGGTACCTTACGTACTGTTGCAGCCTTGCCTTTTCTGAAATTATCACATGATGAAAGCCCTTACTCCAATACTGAGAGCAGGAAGAAAATGCCCTTTCCAGTAGTATTAAGCAATTGCTTCTATTTCCAATGACTTATGAAAGAAGAGGCTGTAATTCCTTGCTTAATCCAAGACTGGATATTTTTCCAACTGTGCACTGTAACAAGAACGAAGAAGGAAATGTTTGTCTGAGCTGTTTTTAATGACTGTTGTTAAGAATTGCACAGAGGGTTGGAATGTTGGAAGGAACCAGCTGAGATATTTAAGTGAGCAAAGGGCAAAGGAGGTGTACAAAGGTATGTAATAAACAATTTAACATATGGGTAATTAGTGTCCAAACATTTAGTACGTGTCCTCTACAGAGTTCTGCAGTGAGATAGAGTGCTAGCAAGGCTTTGGGCAACACCTTGCTGCATAGATCCCCATGTATATAATTGGCTCTTCTGCAGGCAAAGGAATTAAGGATGCAGCTCAAGAGGTTGTGAGGCTGTGAATCAGTTGCCAAAACCAGGAATAGCTACTTCTGACTTCCTGCCCTAAGTTCTCCTTTCTCCCAGCACTGCCACCCACAAAAGATTTTGTGAAGATTAATCTTTCAGTATTGCTCTTCCCCTTTCTCTACTTTAATCTCATTGACAGGAGCTTCTTCTTCTTCCAAAGTAGCCTCAGTATCTCAGCAACCTGAGACTTTGAGGGCAGTTCTTTGCATTCACTCTTCACTTGTCAGTGTCTGACTTTCCTGGCCATGAAAAACAGCTCATCAGCATCTGTCTTCCCTCCCCACATCTCCCCTTATCTCTTCCTTCCCTTTTTTTCTTTCTCATATTTTACACAATCCAGGAAGCAGCTTATACAATTTGGATCAATTTCTTTTTCCTTTTTCTATAACAGAAGCAAGTCAACTACACCAAAGAATCACTGAAAGTGTGTACCATGCACCAATGAATTCCTCCAATATAGCCAGGTAAGTCTTCTCAGTGCATAAATTCTTAGTGTTCTATGTCTAGCTTCTGGAGTATGAACTTATTAAATTGCCTCCATGTTGTATAAAGCCATGTAAATGCAGATAAAAGTTTTGCTCATGGGGAAACTCAGAATCTCAATGCAGAATTCATTTAAAAATCATCATTTGAATTTTCCAAAGAACCATGTGCTCCCTGGAACATTTCCTGGATGTTAGATGGAGCTGTCAGCACATCTTTGTAATGCTGCAATTGCTGGCAAATTTGCTAAGTGAGTTGGCACGACATACCACTGTAAAGTTTTCTTTGTGTTTGCAGGACTAACTAAACCAAGATATCCCTGGTAAACATAGCCAGCCTTTGAGAGCTATGCAGCTCAATGCAAGAAAAATTAAACACATGTAGTGCTGCTAATCCTGCATTGTATTTTCTCTTGGATTGGTTATATTTCAGGTTTAAAGCCTAAGCTGAAGAGGTTTAAGGTGAAAATCTTTCAGCAAAACCACCTTGGAGACAGAAGGAGATAATTGTTCAAAAATATTTCAGATCAATTCTTCTCACAAAGCTTTTAAAGTGAGAATTTTCAAAGCAGAAATTATAGGCAAAATATAACAGCAGGAAATTAATCAACTCCAGGAAGAAAGAATATATATTTATCCTAGAAAGGATTAAATCAAAAGAAAAAATTAGTGCTTGTCCATGCTCTACTGACTACCATAGAGAAGAGAGCTTAGATGCTTCCACTCCTAATGCTGGGTTATTATAGGAGGCAAGAAAACATGGTATGTCTTCATGACAGAACAAGACACTGAGCTTTCATAAGTGGAACAAAGTACGGACTCTCAGTGGCTCTTGTAAACCAAGGCCACTTTGATCCTCTGTAATATGTCTCAGAGAGCAAGGACAGAGGAATTGCAGCATGAGACACCTCTGCAGTGACCAGTGAGAAACAGTGGATCCAGAATTCCTCAGACTGCGGAGCCCTGCCTGCAGCCAGGTTTGGGATGCTGGGCAGCAGCAAGAAGTGAGAGGAGGAAGTTAGACTTTGTGACATGTGCACAGTCTGTTTATGAATGAGATGACTAAGCAGCCCCAGTTGTGAAAGATGCTGTTATTAAGCCAGGAGTAGACAGTATTAGCCAAAGAGCAGCCAGCGTAATCAGTACTCTGCCAGCAGCTGGAAGTTAATTACTGAGATATTTCTAACTGTTGCAATGCCCTCTCCTGGGTTGCCCTTCTGTAAAATGATTATTGCTTATTGGGAATTGCCAAACCTGTACTGTGACTCTGAGGAAATCTGTTTGCAGAAAACCTCCACCTCCCCAAGCCATATCCATTCACAGTTCCCTTTACTTGTTTGCAAGCCAACACAGTACTTAGGGCTGCAATTCCACGAGCTAAGGACTGGAGCTGAGATGTCTGCAACATAAACACTCACAGTTGATGCATTTAATACAGGTGATGGTTGAATGTCCCCAAATCCTGTTCAATCTATGTAAATTCTCTCTCTGTAGGTTCTTCCTGAAAGTTTCATTGTTTAATCCTAAAATGAGATGTCCTGTGGTATCTGTTGCTGCTGATATCTCTCTGAAAGGGTGGTTGCTGCATTTCACTGATAATGAACTGATCCCTTAGCATTGTTTCCTAATCTACTGAAACATATGCAGTTTAAAGAGACTATTTTTTTAATTGTTTAATTGTCTACCTTTTTGGAAATGACAGATTCAGTCATACATCCATGTAAAAACATCCTGTGCACAAAGATATATACAGATACTCGTAATTCTACTGCAGATGCTGTTTCAGAGAAGTGGGTCTGTGAACAGAAGCTGGGGGGTCTAGGAGCCAGTGGAATCCATATGCTCGTCTACATGTGCTATGACCTCTGTGTGACCACTCAGCACTCACTTCTTTCCTGGAATCAAGTACAGTCATGCTTTAAAGAATGGAGAACTGAGATCCAATCCTCTTTTGTAATCCAGTTTCTCACCTCTTTCTTCCAAATCTGTTGCTTTCAAAAAGAGGAAGGATGCAGAATGGCTTCTTCCACCATACTTGTGTGGCACAGGTGCAGACTATTATAGCACACCTGATTTTAAAACCTGCCTTTTTCTCCTTAACTTTAGGCTTCTGCATTTGATGGTAACAAAGAATGCTTAGTGCTGGTATCCGACTCACGGCTCAGTGCTCCATTAGCTCTTAAACAGGAGTATAACTATTTTTGTATTTCTTTTGTCCAAAGGTATAGCAGAAAGTCATCAAGCATATATGAAAACAAATCCGAGACATCAAACGTGGAAGCATCTAACAATAAAAACAGGAATTCCAGTCCCAGTGCCAGACAAAAGAGAGGTAGGACTTTTGAGACAGAGCTTTTTGATTCCAAAGGGTAATCGTTTTTGTTTTGTTTTGTTCTGCAAAATCATTTCTAGAGCTTATCAGAATAGTTAGAATGTGTGTTTTCTAAGTTTAACATCAAAAAACAATGCTACAAGCCTGTGTGACTGCACTGTGAAACTTCTTGAATACCAAGGAGCACTGCCAGTTTAGGAATTTTCAAGTTCAAGTTCTGATGCATTACAATGCTCTTTATGTAACTTCTGCTTTTAGGAATAGAATTTTGGAGGTACAGTATGCCTCTATATCCTGGATAACTTCGTTTCTAACCATATTTAATGTTAAGGTTGCCTATGAATTTTGCTAACAAATGTCCTTGCTTTGTGTCCCAGGTTTCTTTTTACCTTCTCTATGTATATGCTTCCTGATAGCTCATAGTAAATAAATGCACGTGTGGTCACAGAAAGTCCCTCCATTATTTAAGTGCATAAAGACAACTGATAAATTCTATACAGCTAGGTTAAAATGAACTCTAAAAGGAAAGTGGAACTCATCTGGTGGTAGCAGGAACAGAAAATATTTCATCCACAGTTTCTCTGTCAGGTACTATTTCAAACAAAGACTTTTCTAATAATAGAAAAAGAACCAAAATCATAAGAAGATTAAAAACTCTCAATATAGTCAAACATATTGAGTAGCTTTTGATTAAAAAAGTGGGTGATTCATTAACATTTTTTCATCATAATAAGTTTTCATTATTGGGAGGAAGTCATGGATTCTTCAAGAAAAAATGGAATTTATTAATTAAAAGCATGTTTATGTAATAATAGATATCGTTTAAATGTGAAATATTTTAAAATGAAAAAAACAAAAACAGAAACAAAAAAACCTTGAGAAGCAATATTTCATTTTAAATTTGTAAACTCTATTTTTAAAAATATCCAGGAAAACAGTTGGTGATTTTTAACTGGTCCGACTTCCATGTCAGTGTGGGCGGTGGGATCACAATTTGCTGATTTTCCTTCTCCTGTCTTCTGCTTTCCCATGACCAGTTTCTCTGGGCTCTCACTGTAATTCCTCTGCTACTCACTGCTAGCTCAGCTGAGAGCCACCTCATGCTCTGGTATGTGGCTGCTCCCTCGGGGCTAAGCAGTGACTCATTTCTCTCTGTGGGATTCAGGGTGTGTGAGCGCATCCTGCTCTGCTGTGCACAGAACCAATGGAAGAGCTATCGAGTTTCTATGTCCCACTTTTATCTGCAGTTTTAATCTGTGTCCTTGTGAAGCATTACAGCCTCTAGCTGGGACTCTGCAGGGCTGAATTCAGTCCCTTTAAGGGTGCACAGTTGGGTCCTAATTTTGAAGGCGCACAGGAATCACGCTGTGACTCTGAGGTTGTGCTCGTTTGCAGTGTAAGCACAGCATGGATTCTGGCGCTCTGTTAAAATTGTCTCTTTCGTGCCACCTACTGACTGTATTACTGCCAACATCTTTGCAGTTAGCATGAAAGCAGATTATTTCCAAATACTGTTTTCTTTCTGTAGTACAGAGTGAGTGGGGTGGGTGGAGGAGGGGGCAACTGTTGGCAAGGTATATCAGCTTTATCACTGTTATTGGTTAAGTGCATGTGATTATGTGTTGTCCACATATAACACAGTTTTTTTGTGTGTGTGTGGACCTGATTGGTAAATTCACTGACTTGAAGTTACATGGAAGCCAAGCAACTCCTGTAACCACTGGAGTACAGCTGGTCCCACCAACCTGCTCACAGCAAGGTCAGCTGGAGCAAGTTGCTCTGCACTGTGTTCAGTAGGTGCTGCACGTGTTCAAGGACGGAGACTCCACAGCTTCCCAGTGCACACAGTCTCAGTCTTTACTCTTCCCAGTGAAAAAGATTTTTTCATGTTTTTAAGTGAAATTTCCTGTATTTCAGTTGATGCGGATTGTCTCTCATTCTGTCGCTGGGCTCCACCAAGAAACATTTGGTTCCATCTTTACCCACTCTCATAAGGAATTTGTATATATTGATGAGACCCCTCTCAGCCTTTCCTGTACAGTCTGAACAGTTCCATCTCTCGCTCTCCCTTCATAATTCAGCAACTGCAATCCCTTACTCATACCCATTGCTCCCCACTGGATTCACTCACATACACTGATGTCCCTCTAGTTCTGGAAGCCCAGCACAGGACCTATGGGTCTCACCAGTGCTGAGTGGGGTGAAGCATCGCCTCCTTGGACCTGCTGACAAGGCTTTTCCTCATGCAGCCCTGGATGCTCTTGGCCCTCACTGCCACACGTGTGCACTGCTGGCTCATGATCAACCTGTTGCATATCTAGATTTAGATCTTATTATGTCTGGAAATGGGATTCAGAATTATTTCTTATACCTGCAGAATGAAGGAAAAGGTTTGAAAGAACTCAGGTACAGACATCATGTCACTAGAGACCAGTCTGTAGTGATTGGTACATGCTGTGCAGTTGAGGGGACTTGTGAACTACTAAAATGTCCCTCTGTGAAGTGATACAATTCGATGGCTGAAGAACAAGCAGAAAGAGCATAAAAGCATTCCCCCTGCACACATGCACTGCTGTACTTTCCTTGTGGTACCGCTGTTAATGAGTACTACGGATTTGCTTGCTCTTCACAAATGGCAAGGAAATATACTTCATATACAAGTTTCTTGTTTATAAGCTAATCCAGTGTGATCCAAAATTCAGCCTGCAGGATAGGCCTTGTCCCAGGCTCACAGTATCTTTACAGGCATTGCTTAGCAGTGGGAGCAGACACAGCAAGGAGTGAAGGCCAGAACAGGTAGTCTGAAAGCCATATGCATCCCAGTGCACCAGTGTGCAGCTCCACAGCTGACACTGTCCTTGTAGTCTTTCCTTACCTGCCAGGCACAAGACTGGCATCAGGCCCCAGGATGGAAGGAGCTGACCATGCTGACATAACACTGTGCTGTTAAAACCTGTTCATTTCACACCTGCCTGTGCATGCAGGCACCTTGGATCCTGGGTTATCTTGGCTGCAAATCAGGAAGTGATGGGATGCACTTTCCTTTGGAAGCTGAGCTTGTATGTCTGGTGTTTGTCAGTCTGGATTCACTGTCTCTCCATGTTTCCTTTGTATTCCTGGTCTTCATTTGTGCCCCTAATGATTATGACTTGACAGTGTATGAAATAAAAGGGAGAAGAAAGTTAGTGGTTAAATCCCAAGGCAGGGAACCAAGCAGCTAGCACATGGTTTTTTTCCTGATCATTTGCCTTAATCCTTCTTTGTGTTACCTGTCCACACAAAGATAGGAATAATTTGACATGAGTGTATGGGTCAGGGAATTGGATCCTGGTCCACCTCTTTCCTGCAGTGTGATTAACTGAATATCTTTGAAATTCAGAGTCTTAGGACTTTGATCCGCCTATGGCTTATCTTTATAAATGCGATCATCAGGTGGCATGGTGGGCTTATCCACATAGGAGACTGACATGTATGCTTTGATGGCATAGCCACACTTATGTCCCAGCAAGTCCCAGGTGAAGTGCATTACTAGGTGCCAGCTTTGGCAGCTTTAGAAAGACTTCAGCAGGTAAGGCTGAGAGCACACCAGCCACAGGGCTGATCATGGCAAACTGCTGAGCTGTGCTGGACAGCAGAAGTGTTTCTGCTCACAATGCTTGCTGTCTGCGTGCATCCTGCACTGTAAGGCTCCTCTTATTTCTCCCTACAGCCTTGCTATTCCAACCACAGTGATGTGTTTTCATAGCGAAAAGCACTAGATTCCTTTCAGTGAGCTTGCTGCTAAACTGTATTTTCCTTTGATGAGAGCTACATCCCTTCACCTGTTTTTCTTGTGTTGTTTTTTTGTTTGTCTTTGCTTGTTCATTTATTTTTCTCCATTGAAATTCAGTGAGCCAAACTCAGCCCAGCGGCTCTGTTAGCTCAGCTATTTAATTACTAACTTCATATCACCTTTCTAATTGATTAGCTCTTGCTCAGGCTTGAACTGAATCAAAACCAATTCTTTATTTTTCGTTGTCATCCAGTGCTAACCTTTCCTTTCCCATAAGCTGAATGGCTGACCCTTCCTTCCTTATTTCTCTTCCCTCTCCCTCTCTCTCCTAGTTGATGCTTCCACCAGCCTTAACCTTGAGCGCACAGCGCTTGCTAGAAAGCGATTCACATTGCAAGGTCTTTCCAACCGCAGAGCTCCACCCAAAGGTAAAATCACCACATGCAGCATTTGGTCTCTGGCCATCTGTCTCCCGCACAATGCTTTCTCCATCCCATAGTGTCATCCATCACTATTTCCTAAAATGCTGCCACATCCCACAAAAATGCACCTGTCTGATGCACACACATGGCTTCTCTTCTCAAATATCCTGTTACCAGAAATGGCTCCCATGACAATGTGGGCAAGGCAACCTTGGAGTTCAGTGGTTGGATCTTTTCATAGTGCATAGTGCAAATAACGTTTGTTTTTCTCAGTGGCTACCAACCTGACTTCTTTCAGCAGTTTACTGGCTTGAAGGGAAGAATATCTTCTCTGTGTTGCAGTGCACTAAACTTTCATATGTTAAAATGTTCATTGGTTGAATCTCTTTGGTTTTTCAAATGTTGCTTAGCCATGACATGGTGGTTAGACTGGGGAATTGTGATTCAGAAGATCTGGAGTTTATTGCCTTTTCATTATATTCATTTATATAATTACATTATATGATGCTGTAAAATGATGGGTTGTGAGTCTTTGTGCATAAGCATTTAGAAGACACTTAGTATCCGTGTGTAGAGTATTGCATCTTCTTGTGATGGCTATACTAAGAGATTTTAGAGGAAATAAAGAAATGTAAATAGAAGTGAAACTAGATGACTATATTCACAGTTACTACTTGAAAATGTAACGTAATTACTCTTTTAATTGTTATGATATTGCTTTTCTCTTGTTCTGATACATGATTTTTCTTCTGTGAGACAAAGATCTAGTATGCAGTGATGGAGAAGGTGAGCAGCAAAGGAGGAAAAAGTGAGATGGAAGAATAAAAAGATGAAAGAATAGAAATACAGAAGTATTATTAAGTGGATGAGAATAACTTTCTGAAAACAAAAAAGCGGGTGGTTTTCAGACCTGTGCCCAGGGGAAATCAATGACAAGATTCTGATGTGATGAATGCAGAATAATGCTGCAGTTTTGGCTTAGGTCTCTTTCTCCTTTTTATCTAAAGTTGCCTTGTCATATGAGACGTCTTGTGTTTTGTTCAGTCATTCCATGTTCCAGAGAGCAAGGTATACCTTAGAAGATTATATACCCCTCAGCTGTAGGCAGTTTTGGCTCCAAGACTTGTTGGATCTGGTTACTTGAGAATGCTTGTTCCACTGCACAATGTGCAATGTTTGCTGATTTCACTTTGTTGTGCTTTTGTGCAGTTACTAATCTGGTCCTGGCCTAGAGACAGAAGACAGCCTGGTTAATTCATAGACCATGGTCATTTCTGTAGGCAGTGATAACGCAGAACTGTGTTACTGGCTGTTACAGCAGAGCTGTGAGAAGGAAACAGTGAGTGTGTTATTTACTAGGCAGGGCTGCAGGAACAAAAGCTGTGTGACTGAGCACTAAAACAGGCAAATTTAAAGATGATGAGTGGGAAAGAGAATTTTAAGACTCCTGAAAAACAAATCCTCACAGTAATATAGTTTTGCAGAGGATATTTAAACCTGAAGTTTAAAATCACGTAGAATTTATTTTCCTCCAGTGCTGTTTGACAGTTAACCATGAAAACAATGAGAGAGAGGGAGAAAAGAAGGTACACTAAGAGACATGAGGCAACTGGAATAGAAAAATCTCTGAACCACAGTCACTGGCTGGGAGCATAGCTTAGGATTCAATGGCTTAGGATTCAGCAAAGCGTATAATCATGTTCTATAAAGAACACTGTTTGATACAACTCTTCATCTATCCCAGGCAAATCTTCAATGATAATAGAATCATTTAATTTTTTACCAAAGTTTTTTTTTTATATTAAAAAAAAAAAATCAAAACATGAAAATCACATGTCAAATAATTTTTGACAATTCTGTAAAGCTTCAACTGAATATTTAAAGCCTTTTCTAATGCCATTTTCAGCTGAACTTGTGTCCTGGTTAGTTAAGTGTTCAACTGTCTTACTGAAATCAAGATGTAAAGGATATGAATAGCTTTATTCATGTCTCAGTGAAAATTGTCACTTGAGTAATGCAGCACATGGCCAACAGAAAAAACTAAATTGTTAATCCTGAAACTTTTGTAAGCATGCAACTTTTTCTCCCAAGTGGTGCTGCAAGTTGCTACATGCAAGAAGCATATTGCTGTGCATGCAACCTCCTAAGAGCTCCTTAATGACTTCAATGCATCTCCTAGCATCATGTGCACTCTGAGGCTAGCAGTTAGTCCATTTACACCTTTGATCTGTTTATTAACTATTTTGAGTCAAAAACGTTACTCACATCCCACAGTGAAATCTTGGAAAGATGTGTCTTTATTCCTGAATGGAATTTGGGAAAAGGCATTATTTGGAATATACAAACAAACAAACTCTGGTGCCTTTATTTTTCCAGACTGATTTGCTCTAGTAAGGAAAGACCATTCACTCTTTTAACTTCCGGAAATTATGAATCATTGAATCATAGAATCATCAAGGTTGGAAAAGACCTGCAAGATCTTCCAGTCCAACCGTCCACCTATCACCAGTAGTTCTCACTAAAATATGTCCCTCAGCACAGCGTCTAAACATTCCTTGAACACTCCAGGGTCAGTGACTCCACCTGGGCAGCCCATTCCAGCACCTGACCACTCCTTCAGAGAAGCAGAATGTCCTAACATCCAGCCTCAATCTCCCCTGCTGCAACTTGAGGCCATTCCCTCTTGTCCTGTCACTAGTTACATGAAAAAAGAGGCTCACTGCAACCTCCCTTCAGTTGGTTATATAGAGCAATAAGGTCTCCTCTGAGCCTCCTCTTCTCCAGACTGAAGAATTTCACTTCCATCAGCTGCTCCTCATAGGGCCTGTGCTCCATAATGTGATCTCTAAACCATTTGTGTTTGTTTTTCAGTGTATTTCAGCTCAGTCATCACAGAACAAGCAGTTCAGTGTCTCCAAGTAATCCCAACCTCATCTGTAGACACATGCACCATTCTAACTATCATGCACATCATTCTGTGTTTTGTACCTATACTTAGACTAGCTAAAATATTAGTTGGCATGTCTCCTTTCTGCAGTGTTAAGATTTGGTGCAATTGGAATTGCTTTGAAAATATATTTCTGTAAATTATTTTCTATGCTTTTCACTTTGTAGAGAGCGTCCTTCCTGGCTGTTCTAGGGAGCAAGCTACCTTCTATTTACCCTTTCCCAGCTGCTGCTTTGCTTTGCACATCTTTTACCCACAGTGCTTATTAACCGTATTAATCCTGCCCTGCATTGCATCTGTCTGTTCTCCCAGATCCAGAATCTAAGGAAAGAGAAGTTGCCCGTCGCTTTTCCCTAGCCTCCTCCATCAGCACCACAGTTAATGCATCTGCTGTGACCAAAGGTACCGTCATGCTGCTTGCTTAGCTACCCTTCATCCCTTCCTGCTGACTAACAAATTTACTGCCAAATGCTGTTCTCAGAGTGATTTCATCAAGCTCAGTTTTTACAAACGCATGAGGTTTCAGCAGAAGAGTTAGAACAAGTACAACACCTGCAGGAATGCAGGCCAAGGTAGTTGAATGTGTATCAAGGTTTCTCAGCTTCAAAAACTGATGCTAGTTTTCATGGAAGCCAAATTAATTCTTGGCTGTTGTAGGGTTTGTTTTCCAGCTTCTCCCTGGATTTGGGTTAACTGAAATGCAACAGAATTTTCTTTCCTTGAAACTGCTTAGGGTTGTTGCTTTCAATAGGAAAGACAGGATCTCCTCTTTGAGCAGCAGTCAGATACGAAAGCTTGAAATTAAGACAAAAATTGAGTAGCAATCAGTGCCAATTTAAAACATATTTAGCATAATTGCAGTTATCATTAGAAATAATGCTTGCAAGGAAAATTTCAGAAGTGCATAAGCAAGGTAGATGCCCAGAATGCACTGACCTCCATGCAGTTCCTGTGGGGACTTAAGAAAATTTTATTTTTGAGCTGTAATTCTACTGAGAAAAAGCACATTTACCAAATTTACTTTAAGTCACTGCACTAGTGCCTATATTTAATCTCAGGAGCAACCCATACATCTGGGCAAGCTTCTTGTGCTGAAAATCAGCAGGGCTTTAGGCACTTCTGCCTACATGTTGGAACTGCTTTTGAAAACAGAACATATGGTCAAATTCTGGTTATGTTGGGGTTTAATACTGTCTGGAATGAAATGAAGCAATTGATTTGCAAGTTTCAGATTTTCAGGGCGTTTCACAAGCCAAAATAGAAGGAAAGATGGCTGAACTCATTTGTGTAAAAGTCTTCACTATTTATTTATCAGGAGGTGGCACTGTGCCTGATGTAGAGCCTTCCAAATATTTGTGAAGGATCTGAACCATATCCTTAACTGTAGAATGAAGTGACAGGTATCTGAAATGATCTGCTTTCAGAGTGTCACCATGGAGGAAATGGGAAGGATGTAATCAGAGGAAGGATGTAATGTCACCTCTACATACAAATATTTCTTTGCCAACTTCTTTAGGTGATAATACTTCAGCATTTCCATATGGAAATTACAGGCATGGCTCAGGAGAAGAGGTTAATGAAATTCAAACTTGTATGGTTCTGTCCACCATGAGACTGTTGGAATTTTCTTGGAATGCTGAGAAAACTACTTTTGTACTGATTTCAAAAGCTAGAAAACAAAATCAGTGCTCTCCAATTAAGTTTTTTATTTACAACATCTGCTTTAAGTAAATATTTTAGGTGCTGAAGGAACTGGAGCTGGAGTCTTGTCTAATCATTAGCCAAATGCAGGTCTAAATAGGGTATTTGGGTGGACTTATTCAAGGCTACTGCACAGTGTTGTGTGCTGATCCTCACTGCAGTGGCTCAGCTCTGTCACATCACAAGTCCTCTGCATATGCAGTTAGGACACAGGAGAAGCACTGCATGTGGAGCTGAGAAGAATGTCCTTCTGTTCTGTGGAACAGAAGTGCTGGCTTTTGTCAGCTCTTCCCTGCCATCCTCGTGCGTAGGAAGCTGACTGCGAAGCTGCCCGCATTAGTGCCATCTCCTGGACATGTGGGAGAGAAACCATCCGTGAATCTGGGAGCAGACACATCTATGACATCTTTTGCAAAAATAGGTCTGTTTCCTATTCACATCACAGAAGCATTTGTCTTCACCACTTAGAACTTAGGGGACAGTCATTTTTCTGGGTGATGTGGAAAGTATTACGCAGGTCGTGGTTCCAGGTAATGGGAAAGCAAGTTTCTGCTTTGACAATATTTACAGCCTTGTGACTCTGCAAACTTCACACAGGTCCCCTTGTTCCTGCAGTTAAAGTCAAGAGACATGAAATAAAGAGTGACCCAACTCCCCTGGGGTTTGAAGGTATGAGTATTTCCATCCTGCATGAAAACCTGTTCAGCAGTTTTTTTATATCATTCACTGAATTCACATCTCATCACTGTCAGTGGATGACACTGGAGGCAGTCGGGGTTTGGTGTCAGTTTATCTGTTGAACTGTGATAAATCAAATTTTTCATCTTTTTTTCTCGTCTCCTGCACTAATGCTCTGTTTATTAACTTTTACCTAGGGTTGGACTTAAATTAAAACCCTGATTCTCTGCCTGTTTTGGTAAATAGACCATGATCTGGATCTAGATTTTCTGCCTGTCTTCTACCTCACCTCATGGAAGGGAGGAGAGCTCAGGCAGCAGCAGGGAGCCAAGGCATTACTCTTCACCTTCACCTGCAGTCTGGCCACTTGCATTCCTCTTCCCTTGTTAGGGTCTACACCTAATAAGAGGAGCAGGAGCCACATGCATGAAGGTCACAAAGAGGCTAGGCTGCATTGATAACCATTTAAGGTGCAGTGTTTCATTTCAGGCAAGCAGAATCTCTACCTATTTTGTTGCAGCAGGTTCATCAATTACTGTTTTATAAGCAATACCAAAACGTTAAACTGGGAAGTGATTTCACAACCACTGAAAGATCACCAGCTTCCATTGCCAGTGTTTCCCTTTACACAAGGATTTGCCAGAGTGCACTGCCACATGAGGCACAAGCAGTCAGGTACCCCTGTTGCAAAAGAGGGAGAAGAGAGATGTAAGCTGAGGAATCCTTATGATTGTGTTGCTCTGCACAAAACCCTGCCAAGTAGCCAGGTCAGTTATGGGATTGGCAACACATCAAAACTATCTCCTGTATTTATAGCTTTCTAATAGATATAAGATCCTCATTATAGACACAGATACTTCTCATCTCAGCATACCATGTGGCTGCAGAGGCTGGAGGTATTTCAGGGTGCAACTTCAGAGCTGAATTGACCTTCCTTGGGTAAAGAACACGGTCCTACTGTACAACATCCCTTGCCAAACTGAGTTGATTTAAGTGGGAGACAATGAACATTGTTGTCCCTTCATCAGAAGAAATCGCTGCTGTTGCTAGAACTCTGACAGAGTTAATGATGTTAAAGATATTATTTACTTGGATAAAAACTTCCCCCACAAAGCTGCATTAATCAAGAGTGATACTCATTTCCCACTGAGAAGAACCTCCTTGGTCTGTTTTTATTGCTGCGTGGATGGGTGTCAAAACCATACACCATCATCTACAGAATGATCAGAAAACCTGCAAGCAAAGTATGTTAAAAATGAGGAAGCTGTAGTGAAATAGAGCACTGCACTGTTCACCTAGCAACTGTTTTCATTACTTAACATCAGTATTTGATTCATTTGGCTGCACTCTGTCATTCTCAGGCATGACGGTTTTCCTGTGAGATATTGCTGTGTTTTGACTCATTTGTGCTCATTAAATGACTCTTTATAACTGTTGGATCCCATCCACCTGTTTGTGTAAGAGACAACCAGTTGCAGCTGTGATACAGACACACTTTGTACTGGTTGCCTGGTCATTATTTCACTTTTAAGACAAAAAACTGTACTTCCTGCCACAGATGCTTTTGAGAACACCATATTGGCCCAGACTAAATGTAGCACTGGTTCTACCACAAGACCCGTACCTAGATCTGCTTCACAGACAGGTAAACATCATTAAAACATTTATCATCATCCCAGCTTGAGAGTGTAATATCACTTTAGGACAATAATTATTCTCTTTAACTAAAAGGGATTTCTCTCTTACGGTGAGTATAATTTCTCTTGAAAGCAGTGAAAGAACGAGCATGGATCACTAGCAGTTATAGAAACAGAATCAGGTTTTCTGTTGCACAGGCAAAGTTGACAATAATTATTGGAATTTATATCATAGTGCTCAGAATTTGATCTGTGTTATTTTACAGCTTGAATGAAGTACGTAAAAGTTATGTAGGCTATTCCTCAGTCTCTGAAATGTGATTAGCAATTTTTATGGAAAAGTGATGCAGGTACTTGTAGGGAATCCTTGCTGCTGATGTTTCTGCCTCAGATGCTTCCTGTGAATGACAATGTCAAAAGATCACTGCAACTCTATCTCAGTGAGAAGAGGGATTACTTTTTTATTTTGCTGTTTGTAGCCCAACCTTGAGTTCAAACTAAAACTGCTATAGCAGTTTAAAGCTAATTAGCTACAACACATTCTTGTACATTCATACAGTTTGTTGTATTTTGCTGATATGATTCTACTGATTTGGGGTCCAGTTGTAAATTCTGCATGGTCTGTAACTGAAACTGTCTCTTTCATCACAACTCAGGACATGAGTGCCACATGAGAGGCTAGTTTACAGCTTGAAAAGCATCACCTGGATGACACCACCACACCTGTAGGGTTAAAACTGTGGATGTTGGTTGGGTGGAAAAGGTCGCTGTCACTCTTATAACAGAACTGCAGTGGTCAGGGCAGCTGCAGTCCCTAGGAACATGAGGAAAGAGAAAAGGCTGTGGAGCTGCATGGCCACATGTTGCACAGGCAATGTCTGTAGCAGAGAGGATGTGCATGGAGAGGAATTAAATTATTACCTTTTTTTTTTTAATTCTTAGGTAAACAATAAATAATTTATTTTTAAGTAAATGTCTCTTAAATGTAAATAATTATTAATAAGCTACCTCCAAAGGCCTGGTTGTCTTTGAACCTTGTTTTTATTCTGTCCCTTCCCTGCATTTCCAGTCTGCTCCAGAGCGTAGTCTTGTAGGTTGCTCAGGTGGTGACATTACCTTGAGGTGTGTTGGAGATAAGAACTCAACCAAAATTCAGTGGCTTTGAACATCAGTTTGTACATAAACATGTGGAGATGAACTAAAAGCTGAATGAGCATAGCTTTGTGAAAATTGTATTGGCAAAGTCATGATTTGCTACAGCACTTGCTCTGCAAAAATATTCCTGACCCTTGTTTTTTGTACCTCATGAACTGAAGAGATTTAGAGATGCTGAACAGACAAGGTATTGATGCACATACACAAACACAGTCTGCCCTCCTACAAATGAAAGCAAGCAGAAAGAGAATAATACTGCAAAAAGTGTTTTATGGCAAAATCAGGGAACAAGCTGTAAAATGGTGTGAGCAATTCACTAAATGAAATAGCGGGAAGCGAACCTGCGACCTTTATTTTTTATAAGACTGAGTCTGAAAGATGGCAGTGGCCAATAGCTAACTCTTTTTGTGTTCTCTTTTTCAAAGGTTGGCCCAGTAGGCAAATGCCATCTCTAGACACATTTGAAGATTTCGAAGCCATTCCTTCCAGCATGGATGAACTCTCCAACTCTTCAGACATGGAGGAAGAAACCAATCCTAACAATGTAATTCCTTTTTCAAAATGCCCTTTCCCAGTGCAGCTTTCTCCTCTCTAAACATTGGGATTCATCCTGCAAAGATTTGGCTCATATCTGTCTTAAATCCATGGGAAGACAGGAGATAGGAGTTTGATCTAGAGCGCTAGGGGATTATCTCAAGACTATTTATTGATCGGTATCAGGACCATTAACAGCCACCCTTACTTATAAGATGTAGCTTTATCTTTATAGCTGTTAGAAAAGTGAGAGAAAACACTAAAAAACACTGAGCCTTTTAAAAGTACAGTTTCAGACTTTTTCAGGTAATATAAGTTGATGTGATGAACCCAGTTTCTAGATCAAAATAATGCCTTGTTGATTAATTCTAAAGCCTAAATGCTCATCACAGTTCTGAGTTTCAACAATGGTTATCCTCAGCATGATAAGAATAATAAAAGGAGTCACAATTACATGGAGGAGAAATCTCTGTCATCTTGAAACGCCTGATTCGGTATTTAACCAAACTCTCTTGCAGTGTTCTTTACTCCATAATGACTGTATTTCTGATTTCATTCATTTTAGGGGACCAATCTTTTTCGAGTAGAAGGCAGTTTTGACAGCTGTTTCCCAGATTCTCTTACACTTGAGGATGGAGATCTAGTGCAGTTTGTGCAGGAAGGAGAAAATGGGCAATGGTGAGTACAACAGGGAGATGTAATTTAGCAGGTAGAACATGTACAACCTCCTGGAAAAGACAGAAACATTCAGAAGAACGTCAAAGCATCTTCAACATCTATTTGAATACATTCAAGCCATTCACCATAATGTGCAAGAATCAGTGGGGAGCAGGAACATGGATGCAGCTTTGTTTAATTCTTCCTAGTTAGCTTTCCTCCTAAGTGTTTATGACATGATGTTTGAGAGGACAGGAGTTTGCATGAAGGAAAACAGAAGGATTTTGACACCTAGCCCAGAAGGACGGCTGTCAAAGATAGCACCCTTCCTAGGATACATCAGTAAGATCTCTATGCCTTTCACCAAGCTACAGCAGTGAACCAGAGTGTGTATTTTAGACACAAAGATTTAGATATAAGACTACACTCAGAGATGATTGATAAAGTAGAATTCATCTGGCCACCTTGAGCCTACATACTTTTTATAAAATTCATATTTAAAAGTTATTATTCTCTCTGTTTGATAAGTAAGTGTTTGGAGCAGACCTGTCAGGGTGCCTAAATTCACTTTCCATGAGAAATTTGGAGGAAGAAGATCTGATCTCCTTGAAGTGATGTTGCAGTCAGACCCCCAACTCACAAATGGCCTGCAGCTGGGAAATAGCTGTCCAACATACCTTTCTAAGAAATACAGCTCAGGAAAGAGAATGTAGGAAAATGCAATGACTTTCTCTGAATTTCAGGTTAGTGAAGAAATTGGTCTCAGAGAAAAGTGAGTGGGTTCCTTCCAGTATATTGCAGCCAGCAGAGGGGGACACTAACAACATAATTAAGAACAGCAATGCAGGTAAGAGAGTAAATGTTTAACTAGTGTTTAAAAACTGTGTTGTTGTTTTGGGGTGAGTTTTTTTTGTTGTTGGCTCAAAAATGATGTGATAAACAGTGGACTTTCTGTATTAAGTGCTTGGTCTGAGGGCAGGCTCTGGTGACAACACTGAGCTGGCTTGAAATTTGGTGCCTTAACACCATTAGTGTCTGGATTTAGATCAGCATCAGGGCTGTTGTTCTGGTACAAGTTTGAAAATGTTAGACTCTCACAAACCATTCATTCTTTTGTGGTATTTCACTGCTGCCTCCAAATGCTGGAGGAAAGGCTGCTCTGGTGAGATCTCACCCAAACCAGCACTAAAAGTCACTCTTTCTTCAGCTTTGGCTCTGATCTATAATAAACAAGTTGCACTGGAAAAGCTGAATATCAGCAATTCTGCAGATCAAAGATTTATTTTAGATAAATATTTAGATTATATTTATTATATTTAGATTATTTTTGATAAACTATTGCCAATTCATAAACATAATGTACCAAAACTTGCTCTAGTTTTCTGCTGGTAACAGAAGAAAGCAAAATCTGGCACAGCCATTTCCTGGCAACCTGTGAGAGAGAGCTACCAGCATTTTACTCCAAAGTGCTGGTTTCCTTTTTGTTCTGGCTGTTTGGTTGGTTGGGGTTTTTTTTGGTCAGTTTGTTAAAATGGATAAAACTTTATTTTATTTTCTTTTTTAGTTTCTGTGATTTAAAGGGAGTTGGTGTTCCTCCACTTCAACAGTGGATCAGTTCTGTCTGCAGCCTCAGTGCCTTAACTGTGGCTCTGATTTCTTTCACACATCTGACGCTTTACAACAAACCCAAGCCCACACAAATGACAGTTATTAACTTGCCAAAGGAGCCTTCTTTGCCTTCAGTGGAGGAAAGAGGAGAACAGTAGATGTGATTCTTTTACTTTATTTATTTATGTATTTATTTTATTTCAGGCTTTTAACAATCAGTCCCAAGACTGTAGATGGGAATTCCTTTAGATGTTTTGTAGTGACTGTGCCCATGTCCTCCTTTTCAGACACATACAATGATTCCTGCAGCACGGCTTCGGTTGAGTCGGACACCAAGGAGTGTGAGGTGGCTAAAAGCTTCCCAGCAGAACAGAGGGCTGGCAGCTGAATGGCAGGACAGGCCTTCCTCAGGACCCTCTCCATCTCCTTGTTTATTTTGGGTTGACACTGGATCGAAGTTGCCTTTCTCACAAGCTCTGAGGTTCATAATTCTCTGAAACTTCATTAACGTGGACAGATGAGAGGAAAAACAAACTTGAGGAACATTAAACATCCAGACAACATCAAGAACCATCTTCAGTATTAGAGGAGAAAAATGCTTCTTGCATTGTTTATCAAACTGTTTCAGAAGATGTGGCCTAAATTAGGTCGACAGCAGAGCTGAAGAGTTACTATGCACGCACCTTTTGGCAACTTTCCTTGAACACCGAGTTACTGCAGAGGGACACATACATGGTTTTGAGTTCTTGCTCTACCATGGGTCACTTGGAGGTTTTTCCATTTGCTTGCCTCAGTAGCTGTGCCTTCCCCACCCTCCTTAACTACAGCTAATAGATCACAAATGTGCCCTTTTTGCTGATGGTCATCACCAAAACAGTCACACTTTAGACTGGATGTAGAAAGAAAACTTCTGACTTGGACTATCAGAGAGGCTTCATGCAGGAATGGCACAGTGAGCAAGCTGCTGCATTCAGCATTAGTTTGAGATAATGCAGATGGCAACGTGATACAAGGTGGAGATGCAGTTCTTATCCAAGAGGCAAAGAACAAAAGGCATTGTGACAGCTACTGTGACACAGAACATTTCTAAGTCTTTTCACAACATAAGTCACTCCTCTGCGCCCTCTGCAGTCTGTGGTTGCTGGTTCACAATCCTTTGCGTTTGGTGCCGAGAATTCAAATGAATGCCATTTAATGTCATATGTTTGAGTAGACTGCATGCTTTCTTTTTGTGCTGGGCTATGGAGTAGATACATTTCATTCCCCATATGGAATATATCTAAGCATCACAAATAGACAGTGAGCATTAGGTGCTCCAATGAGTGGGTAAAGTGTTGGTGTTAAATACTTATTTCCAGGACGTTTGGTTATAGGGTTCTACCAAATCTCTGCCACATAGGGATGTAATGTACTATATGAAGTGATTACAGATTTTATTATTCCTTTACAAGCCATTAGCTCATTTAGAGCATCTGTTAAGGCATGAAAGCATTTTGATGGCAATTGGATCTTAGGTCCCACAAAAGCTGCTAGTATTTTAGTTAAGATTAGAATTGACAAAGGGTTGCAAGCCAGTAAAGATCAGACAGGAATAAATGACCCTAGGAGCTCAAGAATTGGCTTTTACTGTTAGAGATTTTCTGTTTAACCCTAAGAGTAGTGATGCTCTATGTAAATAATGAAGGGGACAAAAACACTAAAAATGGAGATGAAGCAAAACCAAAAATCACTCCTTGGCAAAATAGTAAGAGTCTGCAACATTTCTGTTATCCTCTTTGCAGGAATCTGAACATTTTTCTTTGTGTTTCAGTGAAGGCTGGTATTGCAAATATCTTAGTGTGTGAGTCAGGATAGCTGTGAAGCAAGTAAATAGTCCCATTCAAGAAAAAGCCTCAAAGTAAGTAGATAAAGGTTTATTCAGATTATTATTATTTGCCTGTGAAGGATTACTAGTTAATTATTAGTTGCACTGTGGTAGTGAATTCCCATGAATAATGTTCTTCTGACCCTCAATATCTAAACTTTGTGGTTTCTAATGGTTTTTATTCATGACAAAAGGATTTGAGACTTCTGTACCTTTTTCAAAGCCAATGTTGTCCTACAGAGATAAGAGCTTGTACATTTTGTGCTGGTCGTTTACCTTAAAAATGACCTGTAGGCTCCCAGGAACATGACTCCTGTTAAAGTCTGTTGAAGGTATGAGCACCTTGAGGGAAGAACTGATTCCTTTCAGTCCCCCCCCCCCCCAAGGGTGCAGGGATACATATATATATATATATTTTTTTTTTTTTTTTTTGTAGTGCAATCATTTCATCCTCTCCATAAAATGACTTCATTTTTGTTTCTATATTACTTTCAGTATTTTTTGCACGGCCTGCTAACAGTGCTCCTGTCTACCCTTGCCCTAAGCACAGGAGAGGAAAGGGGAAGGGAGCTTTGATTGCACATTAAGTAAGTATAGTAAGATTTGTGTGTGAGAGAGAGATGGGGAAGGGTTACCCTGTGTATGTGAAACTGCCCAAACTAGTATTTGTGACATTACACACTCATGGAAAGACCCCAACTTGCACTTTGGAGTTTCAAGTGAAGGAATCTCATTCCAATGGTGAAATAGCAGTGGGAATTCTTTGTTTGAACTGGAGATGGAAAATCAGGTATTGTGAATCCTCATCCTACCTCTGCTGTGTGCAGACTGACAGTGAGATACTCCTATAGCCCTGGTGTCTCACTATCTTGGAGTAAAGTGGGAGATACTGAAGTTCCCTCATACCAATTCTGATGCTGAACTCTAGTGTGGATTCAAAAACTAAAGACCTTTCAGGGGAAAGCAGAGCATTCACCCCCACGTCCCACTGTGCCCTACAAGAGTGTCAGTGGTGGCATCCTATGGAGTAGTCTGGAGCTGAAGCAGGGAAGTAGACCGCTACAAAGCTGTCTTGTGTCTCCCAGCACACTGACTCACTGCAAAGGTATGGGCTGTTATTACAATTCTCATTCCTACTTTGATTTTGAATTATTATTTTTTTCCAAAATTTCACATTTTTTCCTGTTTGACCAAAGGTTAAGTCACTCCTGCACTATGAATGTCCTGAGGATGGCTAGTAACTCCTGGCCCCATGGCTGTATGCAGTACGTGAGATTTTCAGCAACCTCACATCCTTGACAGTATTCCCTCTGCTGATTTGGGTATAGTTGGGCAATGGAGTCCTTCATTACTGGAGGTAGTGACAAATTGGTATGCAGGCAATCACCATGATGTCAGTCAAGGCCAGAAAGTAACCAGGCTTGATCCTCTCCTTCTTTCACTGCCTAACACCACCGAATGGAGTATCAGACCAATGGTTGTTGTCTGGGCCATAGGTGGCTGCAGCCCAATCCTGTCTGGACATTGGCTTATGTTGCCAGTCACAACAAAGCTGCACGCCTGGTCTTACGTTGTTTGTGTACGTAATGAAAAGCCATTCTTTTATCCATCGTTTTCGTAAGTCTCTGAGATTACAAGCAGGACTGAGTATGAAAAGGCCTTGTTTTTCCTTCCAAAAATACTCAAAGCCTGATTTCTAATATATGTATTATTAGAAATATTTAAGAATAAGGAGAAGAAAAAGAGAGCCAAATTCAGTGTTTCTTCTTGCAGCTAGAGCTGAAATAGCTGCCAACATTTCCTCTCCCCAGCTAAGAATTGGTACAGTTTGTTTCTTACATATTTTCCATTGTGTTGATAATGATGTATTTGTATACTGTGGCTGAAGAGAGATAATCAGACAGGGAAAGAGCACAGAATTACTTGTTCTTTTTTCCAGTCAAGATGAATGTATGAAATTATTACAAGAAAAAAAGTGTGCAAATGAGCTTTCTGTAATTCTGATCTGTGTAAAACCACACTTTGTTTGAAATTTATAAAAACTATAACTAGTACAAAACATTGTGGTTGATGTCTCTGTATGAAGCAACAAGTCAAGTGAGATTTCTTTCTATTCAGAAGAAACGAGTATTGGAAAAGTCCCATCAACACACCTGGCAAAAACAAACAACCATGCATTTATCCAACTCAACTTTATGTGTGAATCATAAAAAAAAAGTTGTTTTAAATTTTCTTAGCCTCTCTCTCTTATTCATGTTCCTGAATTTTTGGGACAGTTAGGAGAGTGCAGAGATTTACCAAGACAGGTCAGAGTTGTGCGTGCTGATGTTTGGGGTCATGAGGCAAGGAATGGGATGATTTTATTGCAAATATCCTCACATTATCTTCATACCCTTGGCTACCAATGGCTTATTGAGGAGGGCACAAATGTGTATTGTGGATCATGTAGGGGGGCAGGGAAGTACAAATGAGAATGTGGAAACACAATGGAAACACAGAGAACAAAATAAGTTGGAGCTAATTTCAGGCAGCATCCACTTCACTTCATCTGAGTTTTCAAGTCATTGGCCTCACTGTGTTACTGCACTTTAATTCTGGTGTGAGAGAGAGAATCAGGACCACAAGAGTCCCTGCATTTTTTCCTCTTATTCTATGAGTTTATCATCTCTTTTCTACTTCCATTAAGCTTCCAGCTTTATCAGGCCTCATGGTGAGGACATGGGGCTGGAAATCCATCCACACAAACATGCAGGTGAAATGTTCTGCTGCAGATCGCTGGCATGTGGCCACACACAGTGGGACCTGCCTGTGCAACTTTTGTTCTGGCTTGGCATAGTTCACAGAGGATCCTTCATGGAACACAGGTAGGTCATTGCTGTTTGCTGGGGAATATGCTTGGACTCAATGCTAATGGTGAGCCACCTTGGCTGCACCATCCAACAAAGGCTACCAGCAGCCCCAGGAAGAACCAGAGCCTCTTTGAGACTTTGCTTAGTCCTGTCTCACTTTTGTCAGGTTTTGAGGAGAAAGCCAGAGAGAACGCCTTTCCCTTCTGTGCCTTAATTTCAGAGGAGGAATTTACCCCAAAGAAACTTTTTTTTTTTCAAAAGAGCATGCGAGAAAGTACTGATTTACAGGTCTTAGCCCTCCAGTGGGGTGCAGCTGCAGTCTCCAAAACTGGAGAAAAGAGCATGAAGTTCTACATGGCCTTACAGAACCCCAGGCTTTGACTGTAGGTAAGAGCTTGTCCTCTGCTGCACAAACCCAGCAGTTCTTTCTGTTTTCACTTTCCTTCTTAACCAGCAGCTATTTCTTTTTGCATTAGTTTATAGATGAGCACTGGATTCCCCCCTCCCTCCCCACCTCCTTTCCACCCATGTGACTGAGCACTCCCTGAATCAAGTGAAACTTTGCAGTCCCCAGAAAACCTTTATTTCCTTTCTGCTGCACCACAGCGAGAAGCAGCATCTCTTGGCCTCACAGCTGCACTGACCATGGGAAGGAGCAAATCACACCTGGTCTTGCTAGCCTTTGCCTGCGGTGAGTCACGTCTTCCATCATTTCTCTATGAAAAAAAGGCAGATTATGCTGCTTTTCTTTCTTTGCGCTTATGAGAGGAGCCAATAGACTGCAAACTGGAAACAGTCTTGCAGCTAGCATTAAAGGTGATTTTAATGAAGCCCCACCAGAAAGAATTAACTATAACTGTTTTTTAATTTACATACAATTTAATTTAATTGTAGCTGATGTAAACTTAATGTAATGTTTTCTCTTGTATTTTGCACTCTGTGGTGACATGAACTCTGTGTGATCGAGTCAGCTCAAAATAGTATTAGAAGCAGGCTTATTTGTACTTGTGTTACTTGTATTTGATGTCCAGCAGAACTGACTGAATGTCTTGAGTGAGATAAGCAAAAAAACCAACACATAAAGAAACGTTGCTTGTTTGTTTGCAAGATGCAGGGTGTGAGGAAAACAAAAGCAAGGCAGGGGGCTCTGGGAAGTCTGGGAGAAACTGGGACTTATCTAACAACAACCTACATCAAAGTCACCATTTGATCCTCAGTGCTTGTCCCTGAAAATCTGTGGAGTGAGCCTGGTCAAGGATGTGTCTTAGCATGTAAAGTCACTGCACTTGCAGCTGCACAAAATCTACTTGGCCCAGGTGGACAGAGAGTAATTTAATCTGTGTAATGGCTAAGGACTTTTGCTTGCTGGTGGGGTCCTGGGTTTCTGTGGTGTGCTTTGCTATCTGCATGCACAGTTCACACCAGCAACGACTCCTGCCCCTCTCCCAGCTCTGCAGTGGCAGCACGGTGAGCAGGGGAGCAGTGCAGGACTTTACCACACAGAGCTCCAGCCGCATCTGCTCTACTTTATGACACCTGCCCCATAGCCACAGTCTGCTGAAGTGACCCCAAAATGTATGCAGACTTGGAGAAATAACTCAGTGGTCAGCAGGGGTGTCTTTGGCCAGGATGAACTTCTTGCTCAGTTGCTATTCATTCGTTTTTGATAGTTCCTTCAGTAATTTGTTGTGATCTTTCATTAATGCCACAAACTCTTTCTACTCAGGTAGGGAATTAAAATGAATCAGAGTTTAGGGGAGAAGAGTCTGAAGGGTAGGATGTTTAAGAAACTGCTCTAGTGTTTGAAGTAAACTATATTAGAGAGAACCAAAGCCTCTCAGAATATCTTAGTGCTTTTCCTGTTCCTCGAGAGCTCAAATCAAAGCAGCCAGAACTGGCAAGAGTCTTTTCTGTAGGAGCTAGGTCAGGTTTTTGTGTCTGTAACTAGCACAGAATCTGTCATCCAAACAGGCATTTCTTCTGGGCAGCATAAAGCAGAACAAACTGTGGGTGTGTGGTTAGGCGAGAAGGGTCAGAAATCCCCAGCAAGAGGTTCTTCCATCCTCTGCATCATGGGCTGCCAGGCTGAGACATTCTACAGCCAGATCAAGACCTTTCCACCTTAGTTCCTTTGAACAGATGAACTGTGTGCCTCTGCTATTGTTGGTTCTCACTGGAGAGTCAGCGGAGCTCAGCACTGCTCTTCTCCTCCCTTGCAAGGAGCTGTAGGATATCACAAGGCCTCCCCTCGGCCCCCTTCTCTGGGCTGAAAGAACGAAGTGACCTTGTATAACTTTCCCCCTAGACCCTTCATCATCCTTGTTGTCCTCCTCTGGATGCTAGTGGATGGAGGGAAAACCTGAAACTTCCTCTGTCAGAATGCATGGACTTTGGGTCCAGACCCATTAGGGATGGTAAATTTCTCAGAGAAAAAAGAAATGGAAGCTAACTGCAGGATGCAGAGCTGCAATTTGCTGTTGCTTTGTGGCCGCTTTTGATGGCCAAGACCACTGGGTTGGCAGAGATCA